GAGGATATTAACTAATAGGGGAGAGTTTTTCCAAGGCTTTTACCAGTTGTAATAAGTAGGTATGTTACTCCATATTTAGTGCTGGAAGTATCTTCTTACGCTTTTATGTTTAAAAATTTGATAATTATTTTCTTTTATTTTCACCAATAATAACAAGAACTTTAAAACCATACAAAATACTTATTAACATCGTATATAACAAATCATTATTTTGATCGATTTTCACATTACAGAGATAGAATTTTATTTTAAACTGCATTTAAAAATTTCTTTGTTATATTAATTTTAAATAAAGTTACATAATTTTTTTACCTTTTTATTAAACTTCATTATTTTTGCTTAATTTTTTCTGTCTCTCATTATTTAATATTCTACCCGAATGAAAAATTTTTATTTACGTATTTTTTTTCGTACCAAAAATTTTATTCATATTCCTTTCTTTCTGATTTGACTTTTAGTTTTCATTTATTTATTTTTTTATGTTTAACTCTTTCTTTACTTTTAACGTATGCCTTTACTCCATTTCTAATTCATTTGCATTCATTTCCCAGGAGCAGCTAGGAGGCTTCCAGCTGTCTCCAAACTACTAAAGCACTTCGGGCCTTTCCTCTTTCTACTTAAAATCATGGACCTTAATAATAAGAGATAGACTAACCCAGTGGGCGGGGCGCACGTCACTGACATGTCTGCAAGAAAGTGTAGGGACGATCTGATTTACTTTAACACTGAAACCTATGGCGTTTGTATCACATAACTCTTTTTAATTATAAAATGTGATACGTTGTATAGGTATGAGATTATGAAAGCCACAGTTTTTTCCAAATAGGATTTAATATATCTAATTAAAATACTTTTTACTGCATTTCACGCATTTTTTCACGCGTAATGCTTCTACAAACATCTTTACTTTTGTAAAACAGTAAAAACTCTAGGCACAAAATTTATGAACTTAATTTTGCGTACAAAGACAGTAAAATTATATAAGATTGATAGTACGTTATGCTTTTAAATAAATAAGGTAAAATTAAACAAGACCTGATAATTTTTTTTTTAAATTTAATGAACGTTTTCAGGCAGTGATTTTCCAAACTTAATAACATTACAAAACGATCATTTATTTGATTATATGATCATTAAATTATTAACATTAAAGTGGATTATTTATTTTTAATAATTCATAAAATTCGGAGAATAAAATTTTCTGAGTGTAATGAAGGGGGAAAAAAGATAAAATAAAATTTTCTGAGTGTAATGAAGGGGGAAAAAAGATAAAATAAAATCTAGAAGCACTCAGATTTTATATTACGCTCAAGAGGAACCTTTTTTAAAAGTTTTGTGTGTTACCTATATTTATTGAATGTCATGTTCTTCGCCCGTAAACCACATACATTTGAAAACAGCATATCTTTAGAATTTCTGCTCTGGAGATAAAACTGTTATTTTCCGTACAGTGCTCTCTCTGAACTCGTTGAGTTTGTTAATCAAAAATTCGTTAAGGTTTTACATAATATGAACTAGATTAAAACAAATTCGAAATTCGGCCGTCCAGATGCCCATGTTCGGGTGGAGGATTACATTATTCAAAATTTGATGGCTCTAGATACTGTCGCTTTGTCACAGTGCGAGAAACATACATGTATTCATGCAGATTCTTCATTATTTAATTTCTTTACATATAATACAGGGCGATAATATTTTGTAACAACAAATTGCAAGGAGATACGGACATTTATAGTAAAACAGCGCAAAATGCCGCTTCGAAACTAACAGCCTTTCTAGGCTACCGCCACTTTGGGCTAATAAATTAAATTAACAGTAAATAAAAAAAAATCTTATGCAGAACTAAAAATAAATTTTAAAAAAAAAATCACTATAAAATACAAGCAAAATTAATTATTACGGTTAAATACAATTTTAATATTAGAATTAAATGCATAAAAATGTTTAAGGAGTCAAAAGTGTTTATCACTATGATGTATTAATATAATTGAAATACAATTCCTTCATAGAAATTGTCCTATAATACTCATCTATAATTTTAAAAAAGCAGCATAATTTAGAATTTTAAAGAAAACTTTCAAAAATTCGTTTTTAAATATTTTAGTATTTTTTACTTATTTACACTAATAAAAAGAATACAAATTGCAAGAGAAAACTGCTTGTTTGAAATTTTCTATTATTTCATATTTAAAATATTATTTTCAAAAAGATGTAGTTACACATTTCCTTAGATCATAGGAAAAGCTAAAAAAATATCCAGTCCTGAAAAAGCATGCAATAGTTTTATAGTTATTTGGAACGTTAATTATGCTTGATAAATATGCTAAATTTTTAAAAATCAATCTCAATTTCAAAAATAAAAATATTGTAGAAATTTCTTATTTGTGAAATGAGGCGCTACAAAACCAGCTTTTTCTTGACAATTATACACGCTGCAATAGGCAACCACTGTTAAATTTCTGCAAGTCGTCCCTACTCCTCCGGATGTGATCAAGGTGACAGCCGGGAACGCCTCAGACGAGGGAGAAAACCCGTTTGGGTTAGTCTATTTCTTATAAGGTCCATGTTTAAAATGACATCATTCATTTCGCATCACACATAAACGTTTGTTGATAACTTTTAGATACTTACAACTTATTGTGGCGCAAGTGATTGTTGATACCTCAAAGTGTTTCTTAATCTGGATATATAATAAAATGTGTTTCTAAATCAGAGTTAATTCACTGTAAAAGCATTCAGTCATTTTGTAGAATTCCTGTTGTTATTGCTTGAGCTTCATTTCTAATGCATTTCCTCTATTTCATTCGAAGAGTACATTTATCTGATAAAAATTTTAGCAATGATATACAGTCTTTAATCCTTAATTAAGATTTTAAGTCTTTAATCCGGACTTGTCGGGACTTCGGCAATTCCGGATTATCGATTTTTTCGGATTATAGATCATCAATTTAAATCTGGTAAGATGGCATGCCGAAATTATAAAATTAAAAATATGAAACCGTAATTTATGAAATAAAGAGCAATTATGATCTAAAGGGTATCAAAATTTACCAAAAAAAAAGCTTAATATCTATTTGTTTACTTTATTAAACATTTCTTTCAACCCACGCATGCGCAAAGCATACATTACGCAAAGTCGAAATTAGATTAGAAAACTGCAACTAGAAAACTATTTGATGTGTATTCGTGATATCATTATAAAATGATGAGGAATTTGATTTAAATCATATCAAAGACGGATTATATCGAGATGAAATGCTACATTTAGTAAAGAATTGTAAGCCGAATAAAATAAAAACATCTGCCCTGAAGATAAGGATAGTGCTGACAGATCAACTTCCATTTCATTGCGCGCCGCGACGTTTCCCCCACCCCCCACAGAGCAGCGTGAAATTGATAAACAGATTTTGGAATGGTTAGAGAAACAAAGGATATGCCTTTATCCATTTTTTGCAGCAATTCCATTTTTGGTTTGATGGACAAAAAGTGGAATTGCTGCAAAAAACATGCTTTCGCTTTGTAGATCCTTTGGCAGCTCCATAATCGGAAACTCTTTTTGACATAATTGAAGGTTCAAGCTTACTTTTTGTAAAATTGCTCTAACAGTCTGCAAAAAATAATAAGCTGGATTCAATTCGAAGATTAAGGAACAACGCAATCTGCAACATTAACTGAAATAGATAATTAGATAATTTTAGCTTATCTTATACCGTTCGTTATACATTAAACGCGCATGCGTAAAGGTATTATGCACATGCGTTAACGCATTGCGTTTACGCATGCGCAGAAAGTTTGTAGCTTTGAGGTCCGGATTATAGATCATTCCGGATTATGGACGTCCAGATTAAAGACTTTTGACTGTAATATAAAGAAATGTGAATTCTATTAATATGTGACTAAATATTCGAAGTACTTATTTTCTATATCCAGGAAGATATTTTCATGGAAAATTTCCAATGGACCTGTCTTGTAATCATACACTTGCAGAAAATCGGGTTCAGAATGCGTTTTACTCTGCCATGATAGCTGCTGGGTAATTGGCAGTGTTTATAGATTTTGCACCTCAGCTGTTACTAAAGTTGTAAAAACTATCAAAAATATAGGGTGTCATAAATTTAATTGCAGATTTGTCAACAAATCAAACCTAATGATCGAGTCGTTCGTAAGGAATTTTCTATACACTTTCTTGACTGCATCATTGATGATGATCAGTTGCTTAAAAAAATCGTTTTTAGTGATGTAACGATATTTTATGTTTGAGAAGAAGATAAGCAACATAACTATAGGATCTGAGTGAGAGAAAACCTGCATTTTGTAAGAGAAATTGAGTAGGGTAACTCTTAAGTTAATATTTGATGCGACTAACTCAAAACAAAGGGATTTTTCTTGGAGTCATTAATTAATTCGGATGATTTCTTCGATATGCTCAGATTGTTTTTGGTACCGCAATTAGAAGAAATGCAGTCAAACTTTTTTTTTTCAAAGGAATGGGGACCTCTGTCATTGGGCTGCACATGTATACATGTTCCCTGAAATATTTCCACATAGGCTGGTAGAGGTGAACCCATTTCCTGGCCACCATGTTCTCCGGACGTTGCACTACTCAATTTCTGTTTTTTTTTTTTTTTTTTTTTTTTTTTTTTTTGAAATACCTGAAGAACCGAGTTTATGCTGCAGAGATTCGCACCAGCAAAGAACTGCAAACTCGAATTACCCCAGAAACAGCTACTATGATTTCGCAAAGGCTTAATCCCTTTTGGAATGAAATCGAGAACAAATTTCAAATTTTCCGAGCAAATGATGATGCTCATGTTAAAGTGTACTATTTTAAAATTCATTGAAGGGCTAAATAAAATTCCGTCAGTCTTTTTTCTTTAGCTTAAACCGGTGAATAAATTATGGATACCCTGTAGATCAAAATAGCGTCATATGTTATATAGTACAATTCAGTATAATTTGAAGGGGTGTAAAGCTGTAACATAATGGAGCAAATAACTTACGCAACAAGCTCTGGTGGCTTCCACTACTTTATTACATTTGGCACAGCGTAAACAACTCCGGTGCCACCATCTGCTCATACACATGACCCTCTCCGCTGAAAGAGGAATATTCTTTCACTTCCAGTATAAAATTAAAACAAAAATTATGTAACAGAAGGCAAATATATATATATCTATATATATTATATCTTTAACAAATTATTAAAATAAGTAAAAGCAGATCTGTAGAAATAAAGAACGGAATCAATGAAATTAGAATTGCATTCTCTCATACAACGTTTAAGATCAACGTCTAACAAAGTTTTGACAATTCGAATTGAGAAATGTGAATCACATAGTTACAAATTCTGATGAAATAAAACACTGCAACCATCACTCAAATGAAATAAGCTTACTGTTCGGATGCTCCGCTGAAAGAGAAGGTTGTTTTATTAACTCTGCACATTTAAAATCAAAACAAGAATTCTGAAGCACATCAAGTAAATAATAAAAAGATAGAAAATTAATGCTCAGAATAAACTAATATTTAAAAAACATTTTGAAAATTTTTATTTTAAGTGAAAAATGGAAAAGGGCATTAACGATAACATCCGCTTTGCAAAGAAATTCTCTTCGAGCTCTATTACTGGAATTTTTGGTTTGAAGCAAGATCATGCATAAAATTAAACACGTGCTATTCTGTAATTTCAACGTATATTTTTAAAACATATCAAAGCAAGTGCTTTTAAGATGCTGCTAGAACACTTTGCTCTTATAGGCAAAAATAAACAAAAAATACCTTTCTTACATTAGAAACCTTTATTTTCCAAACAGAGCATTTTTTCGGTACTATTCCGTTTTGAGGACCGTAAAAAATCGCCAAACTATCGTTGATGCCAGTGCTGCCAAAAATAATTGCGGCAACCCTAACGCAAGAAAGAAGTATAATAGTAAATAACTATTTAAAGATTATTGTTTTAATTTAGATAAAAGGTTAATTTCATATAATACTTTTTTATTATTATAATTTATATGAAAAAGGCTAAACCTGACTGAATGGAAGCATAAGAGTAAATAACTATTTCAAATCATTTTTATAATTTATATAAAAAAAAGCTAAACATAAACTGAAACGGATTCCTGCATCGCTATTTTCGCTACCGAGTTATCGCTAAAAGCATAATTTATCTTGTTGGTTGTTCAAAAATAATTTTCGAATGAATGATGCCTTTTGAAAAAAAATTCTGGTAAAGTGCAGAATCGCCCATTTTGTTGGCAATTTTACAAGGTTAAAAAAATTGAATTTTATCAATTTTCTTTTATTTTTAAGGAAAATAGTCGATGTGTACATAGATAAAGTCAAGGGGTGCGCAGTGCCTTTTTTTGTGATTTTTTTTAAGTGAAAATAGGTCGATGGGTAAGGATGCAGATTTTCGTCATGGGCAGTTCCCAAATGTTAAACTATGGATATCAAAAAAGATTTGAAATCAAAAAGGAAAAAATTAAACTAGTATTTAATGACGTCTTAAGAAATATAGGAACTATCTAAAATTACGCAATTGAAATCATGCGTACGCTAGATTTGGCGCGCTGTTAAATGGGCGCGTTTGCTAGATTTGGCGCTTTTGCGCATACATTTTCGCTGCAATTTTTTACGGTCCTCAAAATGAAATAGTACCATTTTTTCTTTTTGGAAATGTTCGTGACCATGGAACTAACGGGCTGGAGTATCTTTTAGGCATACTTTTATATCAAATTCTTATGTTAGAACACTGATTTTCTAATAAGTACAATTTTCCTCATAAAGGAGTCAGATTCGCATTAGTTTATAAGGATGACTAGCCTAGAAAAATCTAGAGAAACTAGAAAGAGAAGATTAAAAATAACATTGATATTATATCTGTTCCATCACGTTAAAATAGGGAAGACTGTAGATAATAGCATTATAGAAATGTATCCGAAAAAAAGTGATTTTGAGGACATACGAGAAGCGGTTTCTAAGCTTTCAAACTAGCTTTAAAAGACACTACTTGTTCCGGAAAACTATTACAAATTTATAAGGAGCCTTTTCAAGCTATGGTTGGAAAAAAATCAGCAACAGATGTCTTATAAAATCATAATAATATCAGATAGACTAAGAGTAACAGTTTTTCACCATTCGTATATAATGGAAGAAACAAAGAGATAAACAAGTCTGAATAATATGTTCATCATATTTTTATTGAAGATATTCTTCATTTTTATAAAAAAACCAAAAGTGTGTTTCTTGGAAATGATGATTACGACAGAATGAGGAGCGAAGATCCTTGCTGACGCTGCAGAAAACCAGCAAAGTATGATATTCATCAAGGAACGGGAAGTTTTATTGTGCGTTCGCTAGAGACAAAAAGCAGTGTAATTCTTATGAACTCTTCAGGGTTGATGAAATAGTAAGTTCTAAGCTCTATTGTTCTCATTTCGCTCTGCTGACTGCAAAAACTGATAAGAAGTTGCCTCCAATACTTAAACGAAGATGAGAGCTGCTATTTCATGGAAACGCACATGTTCCCTGTGAAACACAGGTTGTAGCAAGGCGGACACCTGTACATCCATTTTAACATATTAGGTATCGCCGGGCTTTGCTAAATATTATGGTTTCGCCCCGAATGGAATTCTAAGGGAGCGCATCACAGAGGAGCAGTCCGACAGTCTCCCATCCCTCTTTCCTTACCATCAACCTCTCGAGAGGATTTCGACTCACCCTGTATTTTATGTGCCCACTTGCCGTACAGTCACTATACGCTTACCGACATATATACCTTCTGCGGGATTCAAACCCTTGACCTTCGGTACGCCAGTCACACTAATTATTATCTTGTCTGGGCGGCGATCTATGAAACACAGAAAAATCAGATAATAGGGCTTAGAAACTCCTTTCTTGCCTACCTTATAACTTAGATATAGTTACTTCATAATACCATTTATTTTGCTCGATACAACACTTCTTATATGATTAATAAAAAATTGAAAGCATTTATGCAACATGGTATTGAACACTCCCTGCACCAGACATCCGCATGTTCCTCAAATAGTGTCAACGTCTTGGTTTGCAGGTAGAAAAAGTCATAAAATGGCTACTATTCTCTGTTGTCCTTATAATATTGCTTAAAAGTCCTATAAAAATATAGAACACCTGGAATAACTTTTTATAATATTTTTACATATTCTACTATGATTCATAGTACATATACTTGTAGTAAACATAATTTTATCCTTAAATATTAAAGGAAATTTTTCAAGCAGTTGATTATACAGAAATGTAATTAAACTTTAGTCTTAAACAATAAGACTGTGCAAAATCAGAAAAAAATATGTCACCTTTTCAAAGGTGAGATATTATGATTTTAACAAAAATAACTTAAAATAATATATTCCTTTTTGCCAAATCAATTGTTTACTAATTTCACAATATCTTCAATTCTAATCAAATCAGTAAATTTCGGAAGTAATACTATTCCGAGCTGAATTCATATTACATATTCTAACACACTTATTTTAGCCGCCAATAGTCCTATCTACAAGGGAAAATACTTAAACTGTAGCTGTGAAGGGGAGAAAATATTACTCACCATAATATACTAAATGACCACAGTTTGGACAAGTGGCTTCAAACATTTTCTAGAGTCTCTTTCAGAAATCAATACTATTGCATGGAAACTTTTGAGGTGGAAAAATCTATTTGATGGACAGAAATTAGTAGCTGAAATACAAGCCCAGAAAGAAATTTGAAATGAACGGAAACTTTTACACCGAAATTATTGCTCGTTCTTGCAAGATCTTGAACGAGCAGTTTGCATTTCGAGGCTTAAAACATAACGTGACTATAAAGTTTACGTAATGTTTACTCCTTCTTCATTCATTGGTATTGAATCGAGGTCTGCTGTAGTTGTTATTCCATCAAGTTCTGTTGTAGCATAGTGAATACAGTCTTATTCATTATATTTCTAATTAAAGTTCATTTACTGGAGTTGAAATTTCAAAAGAATTACGCGTACCGAATAAAGGTTTTAATACAATCTCTTGTCAACTTTTTACGAACTTTCATTTAAAGCTTTGTGTTAAACCAAAAAGATTTTTTAAAGTTTTCATCGTTTAAATATTATTCGATTTATGTATGTATTTAACTTCGGTAATGAGTATAAACTGCGTTATTGATTATATATTGTTTATATGATTTATTGCACAAATATTTTTAATTAATAACGTTTTTTAATAATGAAGAAAACCGGTGAGCAGGGACGGTTGTTCCTTGTAAGTTCCGTTGCTAAAAATAGTCTCAAGTTAATGATGTAAAGAGAGGAACTGATCAGTCAAATAAATTTATAAATGCTCTAATGCAGGTATTAATTAATTTTTTAAGAATTATTGACTTTCCGAAATGGAAAGTATAGCTTCTCAGTTAGACGTTGCATCCAAATCAAAAGGTGCAATACATATCGGGATAGGAAGAGGCAGTTGATCTATAGTTTTTACGCAATGAAAGTGGAGCACCTGTGTCTAAAGAGCAATGCTTCATGAATACGATTTAAGCGCTCATTTGTAAAATTGTTGTAGTGACCGATGCAAGTCTCTTCTATCATTAAAAGTACTTTCAGTCAAACTATTTGCCAAATAGCGTCTATTTCACATTGTTGTGTAGAGAAAGGAAACCTTTACATCTCTGTTCTTTAATACACTGCAAACAAGCTCAGCAGTATCAAAATCAGAGAACTATACGGGATATAATGCAGAAGATGCTCAAACTCATTTCGATATACTTCAAAACCACTCTATCTCTAATTTATCAAGTTTTGTAATGTAAACTAGACCAATCTACGGAAAGTCCTTGACAGTTCCTTTAAACTTTTCAAAATTCTTTTTACAGTTATTAAAAACAGTAGTACGTATGCAATGATTCGAAGAACCTTAGGCAAGTCACTGTATTTGTGCAAATTTAACAAACCATTCGTAGTAGATAAATCAGCACAGTTGTTCTTCCTCTTCTTTTCTCCTTCTAGTGTATCAATAACAACACTCAGTATTTTTCACTGTTTAGAATGTGAACTTCTAGATGCCACGGAGGACCTGTCCACTACTTTTCATCGCTAATCAGAGAACGTGCACTTAGTATCTTAATAAGTTTTTATCTGCTGGATTCATTTTTCCATTGCACAAATTCCAAATATGTGGACTTGTCTTATCTTTGATTTCCAACACTCTGTTGCGGAGAAATTGCTTCCAGCTGTTTCTAACACCTCTAATGCAAACATATCGTTGAATCGGTCCACAAGTAAAAGTCAGTTTTATTCAATGAAAACAAAAGATTGATCACAATTAATGAGACAATTGTGCTAAAATAAGTTTCCTAATAGTTCCAATCGCGGCGAGATAATTCTCGTCGGTGGAATGAATGAAAATGTTAAAAGTTGTCGTACATTTTTCACGGTGTCTAATCTTCAAATATGCGAACGCACCATAGCCTTTGGGCTTGGGTCAGGAAATGTATGTACTTTCAGCTGAATCTTCCGGTCAAATCTACTGCTGAATCTTCAGAATCAAAATATGATCGCTGTACGACAAACCTCTCAAATTTTGCGCCATTATTCCACCATTCCTGACACATAAATTCCAATTCTGTTGGAATATTTTCATCTCATTTTAAGCCTTTATCCCAAATAATCTGCATTAGCAACTACTAAATTCTGACACTGACTGATACAACTAAGCTCAATGGGTCAAAAAATATGCTCCATGCATATAATATTATACGTTTTGTCAGTGTCGCATATTTAAATTTTGTAAATTAATTCCCTTTTATCTTCAGAATGTCCTTATCATTGTCCCAAACTTATTCTTGTAACTTTAATGGTACATTTGTTTGATTCAATGGCGTCCGACATTCCATTTGGTTTTCCTTCCATATTTCATTAAGGATCGTTGAATTAGAAGACCATTGAGGTGTCTCTTGCCTAGAGATACCACTTCTTCAACGGTTGATGCCCCACTCACTAAGTCATCAACGTAAGGTAAAACAGGCTTCACTGTGTGAATTGTATTTCTACAAATGGAATCGTATAGTTTCTGTTAAAGTAAAAAGGCTACATTTGCACCAAAGGTAACAAGCATAATTTTGTAAAATTCTGACACTTATTTCTCCATAAAAACTGCATAAATTTTCGATCCTCTTCTACTAGGGAATCTCTAAAAATTCTCTTGGAATATCAGCACAATACTCAATTGAGTGATATCAAAATCTCAAAATAATCTTGAGCAACTCTGGATTAAGATTACGACCACTATCAAAACAATCACTGAGTGACTATCCATTTTTAACATTGGACGATGCATCATCCTAACTTTCGCACTTTCCTTTGATTCGCGGACTGCAGCATTAAGAGGCATAAAATAATTGAATTTTCTATCACCATTCTCATAAAATTTAACTTTCTCAAAATTATCATTCCTTAACTGCTCATTAACTGTATTTTTATAACAAACGTACAGATGTAGATCACTCCTAAATTTATTATTTCAGCTTATCAAACATCCTTCTGCAACTTTGTAATTACTCTTCAATGCGTTATTTGATCCTCCCTCCATAAATAATACAGTTCCAAGTCCCGTAAATTCCGAGCTCTCAAATTCTGTTTCTTCCTTCACAGATAGATGGTTCACACAAGTCTTAATCACAATCATGATTTCCATAATTGTCCGATTTCATTTCCTTACCTTTTCTCCTCATAACTTCCAGACCTAAACGAACTATCCAAAGCAACTTATTTGATGTTTCTTTTATATAAAATTTCCCAAACGTCATTTAATCCGATCAAAATGTCTGTAGCTTTCGAATTTCTAATATCGTCCAGTCTATTCCCTTATGTAGACCTATGTTTTTAATATACTTTTAAGGAATATGTGTGTGGTCATGTGTAATCGCATCAGTTACTACTACCGCATCTATGCTAAATATATTATTAAGGCTGATTATATTCTACAAATCAAATTGAACTATACTGTAAAGCTTCTTAGGTTTATGTTCGCTACCAAAGCCCTGTATCTCGAAACCTTCAGTCCTAATGAGTGAGCAGTTTTCTTTTGACTTGACATGACCATAAGTTGAATGGAGTAACGAGAGAAAAGGTCTCTTTGCTCCTTCGTAAAACGGGAAATGACAAATAGCTTGCGGTCCGTGGTAGCGGTCGCCAACTGAGTCGTATACTTCTTGTCGACCGCTTGTCAAAATAAAATATTTAATTGATGCTGAGGCGGTTGTCTCAGTATTACCAAAAATGTATGCTCAGTAGCCGTTTCATGATTTGATGTTGTTCGCCGCGAATGGAATTAAGATTCCCACGTTTGGCACCAAACATCTTACTCTGGAATTTAATTTACGTCACACCTTTGCTTGGCTATTTTTCGTTCTGAATGTAAATCATCCAATTTTGGGTACTAATTTCCTTAAGAAACATGGATTACTTGTTGACGTTGATAACAATTGGTTTATCGATTTCCGGACTAGTTTGTCTTCGCGTCGCAAGCTTGTTAAGTTGGTGTTGGTGTATTTAATTATGGCAAAGCACACTAGGGCTATCTGCCTAAGGGGAGAGATGCCTTCGTGGAGGACTTTCTAAGGGAAACTGACTCGTATACACGTTACACATGGGGAAAACCACGAAAACACCCATGCAGCCAGCCCGTTCGCGGGATTCGAACCTCGGACCGAACTACCAGTGTTCAGCGACTTTACCGCTCGGCCGCTGGTGTGCCGCAAGCTTGTTAAGAGTTCGTTTCATTTGGGCATATCTGTAGTTCCTCGTGACTCTTTGATAAATTACTAGCTAAGTATCCTGAAAATTCTATTTCTTCTTATATTACCAATAATAAACAAACTTCGACAATTTTCCATTATATTGCAACTAAAGGTCCCACCGTGTTTTCTAAACTTCTTCGTTTGTCGCCGGATTTATTCCAGGTGGCACGACAAGAATTTGAGTACCTCATACCACGGGGATTCGCGGACCTGCAGAGCCCGATCACCAGCTTGCATCAACTGCAGAACTGCAAACTAAAAGCATGGTACATACCATTACTTTAGACACTCAGCCTACAACCGCAGATGCCCCTAATATCAGCATATTGCCAGACAATTTCGCAACAATACAAAGTACTAGCCAAAGGGCAGGAGGAATCCACCGAAGACCACCAGTGCACAGGGGTCCCTCCGATACGGAACAGGACACAGACGGTGATATCAATGCTCACACAGTTCAACAAGATGAAATTCGTGTACTGCCAAATCAATATTCAGAGGGCTACAGCGGCTATTGCACAGCTCGTACAATATGCCATTAAAGGTGAAGTGGACTTTATCCTGGTGCAGGAACCTTACTGTCGCCAAAACAGGGTAGCAGAACTGCCATTAGAATATTAACGGTCATATAATCCGATGGAAAAGTGAACCCAAGAGTCGCAATGATCTGCTGCCGGCAAAAAATGGGTTTCCAACATTGTATTCCTCTCTAGAGACACTGTCACTATAGCTGTAGAAGCTGTAGACTTCAGTATCTATATTACCAAACATTTACATCACTCCAACAGCTGATATTATAGAAGCTCTAGGGATCCAGCAAGGATTACTCAGAAGGTGTCCTTAAGCAGAACATTTGCTGGTTGGAGATTATAATGCACATGCCGAGACGTAGGGGTACCCTAATATGGATATAAGAGGACGTGAAGTCGAAGACTTC